TATATTTCAATTCAATTCAATATGTTTTATTCAATCTCAAATGGCAGCATTAGCGCTGAATTACATGAGAATACAAACAGATTACAAAATTGAGAACATTAAAATTAAATTGAGACCTATAAAACTAGAAATATAATAAAATTCATTAGAGCAAACATTAAAATTCTATGTACATAATAAAATATCCAAAAAACACAATGAATAACGATAGGCTGTTAGATTTCATATTAAACTGAGGAATTAGATGTGTTGAATCAATATATTGAAACAAGAGCCCCGCCTAAATTCTACTATAGGCAAAATTTGGAAACCGCAATAACGAAGTTAACATTTACCGTATACTAATTGTCATTATTTATTTAAAAGTCTAGTGAGGAATGGAATGGGGCTATTGCCGTATCTATTAGTCCGGTGCTTGGGAACTCTGAACTCTGTATGTATTTGTGCACCTGAGATTCATAGAGTGAGACCGGCTATTCTGAGGGAACCAATGCTTATATCTATCTGACTTACAACATTTATTAGCAAACTCACTGCACAAATGGATACTTCTTTTTTCAAGCATTTGGAGACCAGTAATATTTAGTGCGTCCTTATACGACACATAATTTGTGCCAAGAATGATACGGCTGGCTCTTTTTTGGATCCTTTCGATCTGTTTGGATTGCTGTCTGGTAATGTTTCCATGCCAGACAGGTGAGGCATATTCAATAGTAGGGCGCACATATCCAGTATACACTGACACCAAATCTTGGACTGGAACTCCAAATCGCTTGAGCCGACTCAACATATACAATCTACTACTGCTCTTAGATACCATTGTGTTAACATGCGTATCCCAACTTAAGTTGGCCTGTACTGTAAGACCCAATATTGTGATCTCAGTTACCTTTTCAAGCATTTGATCATTTATCATAAGATATATATATATATAATCCGATCAGTGTTAACTGTTAATACTGTTACTTCAAGACAATCTATGCTATAATATAGAGAAATTCGTCTACTACGGTACTGTAAGAAAAATAGGCCATGCCCTATGGAATGCGTATTCTGACCCACATTTTGATTCAGTGAATGAAAAAAAATAATATACTGTACAACCAAAATTTCATTTAAAAGTAAACCACGTCTAACTGTTCATAAGTTGTTCTGTTATTTGTTAAGTTGTTTTTTTTTCTAGTACATGTTGTGATAGATACATATGACATATCTATATCAATTAATAGGCTTTACATTTTAAGTTCTAAATGTTTATGTATTATCATTACTTTATACATTCGAACGTACAGCCAATCTAACTGTTCATTTTGTAATTTAATTGCACAGTAGTTAAAGAAACCTACATTGATATGTGTAAATACAGGCGGATTGTGGAAAATATTTGGGGTGGACTTTAACATATATTCAAAATTTATTTCTAAAATGGTATAATTGACATACATTTTGGCGTAACAATGGGGCCGGGGACCCTGTGGCTTTCTGAAAGTATATTTGAAGTATATCTGAAACATATTTGCATTGTTTTTCTAAATGTTTGTAACGGCGTATAAATGATATAATATCAGTGGCGGATCCAGGAAATTGAAATGAAATGGTCAGGGGGGGGGGGGAC